ACTTTTCCTCGCAGGAGTTCTTTTCGCCCCAGATCCACTTTTGACTGGGCCCGAAAGCAGCCCCCGCGGGTTGAAAGCGAGGACAAAGGGCCACTTGAAAAAACCAGATCGTCGGACATCCGGGATTTCTGGAGCACACCATGCGAGCGACGAAGAGAGACGGGTCTTACGCGAGATGACACAACGACCTGACGTGGTGGCTTACACGGCCGCCAGCGCGACGCTCCACATTAGAAAAAAGGACGTCTACGCGCGAGCTGATGCGGGCCACTTACGCGCGAATGCCCGCGCAATCGACCCCGTCTTCTTCTGTCGCTCGTTTTTCCAAGACACAGGCCGCCGACCTCTCGACCGCTTCCCCGGGACTGTTTCTTCATACTGTGCCGTTCTTGACGGTCCCGAGGCAGTGTAACGGCCCCGAGAGGCCCGAAACGACGAAGCAAATCTCGGTCTCGAATTTTGTCAAGGCGCCGGCGGCCTGGGAGGATCCAACCGTCGGACGGCGGGGACTTCAGGGGCACACCATTTGGGCGGCCTGGCGCGGCCGGGGCCCTCAGAAGAACGCCATCTTGGAGCAGAGCCTCGCCCCCGCGACCGGCGACGTGCGGGCAGAGCCGGGCGTCGCCTCTCCGGGTCCCCGCGCGTGGGGGGGCGTCGACGAGCCGAGGCGTTGCAGGATCAGCCAGCCCCGTCTCCGGGTCGGCCGTGCTTCGGGTCTCAAAGGCGTCCCAGGAGTGCACCCCAAGCGATGGGAAACAAACATCGATAAGAACATTCGGCCTCAGGAAGGTAGGGCGAATGTTCGCGCAGCAGCGGCGGCAAAGTAGGGCTGAAATCGACGTCAGAGGAGCTTGAAAAGTAGGCAGGAGTCTCCGGCCTACATGGAAATCGCCCAGAAAGTACGGCGGATCCGAAATCAGGGTCTTCTTCCTCCGCTCCTCCTCCTCCTCCTCCTCCTCCTCCTCCTCCTCCTCCTCCCTACAACTTCTTCAATCAAAATGCTTCGCTCCTCCCTCACCCGAAGCTCCGCGTGCTGATTTTCTGCACCTATGATTTGAACAGGTGGCCTCATCAATGTTGTTTCCAATCGGACCGCCCTCGGTGTCTCGAAATGGTGCTGCCTCAGCAGCTTTGGCCTCATTTTAGGATCGGCGCTTTGCTCGATGACAATGGCGCTCTCGTCCCAACGCGGGCCACTATTTTTCGGATCCGAGTCTTTCCTCGTTCTTTCCTCGTCGTTGTTGCCCCCCTCCGCTCCCCTCCTCCGCCTTCCACTGGGCCCTCTGCTCCTCCTGCTCCTTCTGCTCAGCTCCTGCTGCTGTTCGTCCTCGTCCTTCGCCTTCCTCCTTCCTCCTCGTCCTTTCACTCCTGCTCATCCTCCTGCTCATCGGCCACCTCCTCCTCCAACCTGATCGGACAAGAACGGGAAGCGCCGCTTGAGTCTAATGGGCGTATTGGGCGAAGAAGAAAAGGAAGGCGAGGGCAACGAGGAATCGATGACGAGGACGACGTGGCGAACGTGAGGATAGCGAGGAGGAGCATGAGGACAACGAGGAAGAGAAACACAAGGACGAGGACGAAGAGAACGAGGGCGAGCGCGAGGAGGAATGCGGAGGGCGATGACAACGACGACGACGACAGAGGACAGTGAGAGGCAATTGGAGAAAGACGTTGCTCCTGGCGCCGCGCGGGGTTGTCTTGGGGCCTGTTGGGGGCCACCTCCTCCTCCAATTCCAGGTCCGCTACGACACGCGTCTGCAGATAGAGAAGAAATTAATGCAATGGGAAGGGATGTGCGGGAGGGGTGGGATGTCAGATACTGCACGAGCGCACGTAGCTTGCCGTCTCCTCTCTTCTCTCTCAATCCGCCACTGTGCCTCTTGGCATGTTGAGGCGTGGTAGGGTGCCAAGTGCTGTTCGGTTTCTGTATTCTAATTCGGCCCCCCTGGGCAGTAGCGGACCCCGACGGCGTTCTCCAAGGCGTCCAAAATGCCCAAAATCGTTTCCAAAACAATTCAGGTAGGCCTCCAAGGCTGCCAAGATGGTCCAATATGCCTCCAAGGCAGCCCAAGACGGCCTGAGATGGCTTAAGACAGCCCCAGATGCCTTCACGACGGCCCGAGAGGACTCCACAAGAACCTCCAGGAGCGCCCGACGAGGCCAACACCATGGATTTTAATGATGTGTTCGCTCGATTCTCCTATTCTCTTTCCGTCAGCTCAATACGGCCAATGAAGCCTCCAAAATGGCCTTAGGCCGGCCCACGAGGGCCAAAGAAGGCCCCAAGACGGCCCCGGAGGGTTGCAAGATGGCCCGAGAGCGATTTAAGATGACCCCCAAGTTGTCCAAGAGGGCGGGCCACAAGACGACCCAGAGAGCTTTCCAAGACAATGCCAAGATGGCTCCACCGAGGCTCCAAGAGACCCAAAACGGCCCAGAGACAAGATCCTTCGGCCCAGGATATATTGTTTGTTGGGAGGAGGAGGACGAGGAGGAGGAGGAGGAGGAGGAGGAGGAGGAGGAGGAGGAGGGAACGCGACCGCCAGATCTCGACGCCTTGGATGTGTCCTCGATGTAAGCCTGCGAGACGCCAGGCGAACCCGGAACACTACAGAAGCCGACCTGTAATAGGTCGAGGAAGCGGAGCAGCAGTGACAAGGCACCACGAGCCACCCGAGACGAATATTGCCCCAGCATTTCATCCATGCAGTGTGGGAGGAGGAGAAGGCGAGGAGGGGCAGGACTGGGAAGGAAAACGGGCAGCATAGAACCAAAGCCGGCTGCCACGCGCATCGGCCGCTGAAGATCCCGGCCCATGCCGGAAACAAAACAACACCGGCCACCAGAAGAGAAGGGGAGAGGAGGAGGGAGGGAAAGCCGGTCTCGGAGGTCCTCGCCCGATTGCCTTTTAGCCCGGGCGCCTTCGGCTCAAGATATACCAAAAGGACCCCCAAGCTCGCCCAAGACGGCCTGGAACGATCCAATACGGCCTTAGAGATAACCCCTTGACGGGTCCACGACGACTCCACCACGGCACCAAGATACACCGCGGACAGCCAGGACGGCCCCACGGCGGCCCCAATGAACCCCGCAGACGGCTCAAGAAAGCCCCAAGTGACACCCAAGACTACCCCACAGGAGACCCAGCCAGCCCCAAGACCGTCGAAATGAGCCCAATGAGAGCTCCTCGAAAAAATGAAGGCTGTCCTGTTCTTCCTCCTCCTCCTCCTCATCGGCATCATCATCACCGCCATCCTCGTCTTCGTCACGCACATCAGCATCATCGGCATCATCATCACCATCACCATCATCATCACCATCACCATCACCATCGCCATCACCACCGCCATCACCACCATCACGACCATCACCACCACCATCACCAGCACCAGGAACAGCGTCAGCATCATCATCATCGTCAGCATCATCACCATCACCATCACCATCACCATCATCACAATCACCATCACCATCACCATCATCATCATCGCCATCATCACCACCACCATCACCATCACCATCACCATCACCATCACCATCATCATCATCATCATCATCATCATCATCATCATCATCATCATCACCATCACCACCATCATCATCATCATCATCATCATCATCATCATCTGCATCATCATCATCATAATCATCACCAGCACCGTCATCATCATCATGATCATCATCATCGTCATCATCATCATAACCATCATCATCATCACCATCATCATCACCACCACAATCCTCATCACCAACATCACAATCACAATCACCATCACACTCACCATCACCACCATCACCACCATCACCATCATCACCATCATCATTATCATCATCATCAGCATCATCATGACTATGAGCATCATGATCATCATTATCGTCATGATAATCATGCTCATGATCATGATCATCATCATCATCGTCATCATCATCATCATCATCATCATTACCATCACCATTACCATCATCATAGCCATCAGCATCATCATCCTCATCGGCAGCAGTAGCAGCATCGCCATGGCCGTCGTCATCACCATCGTCCTTGTCCTCATCGATTCGAGCAGCTGCCACCGAACATCTCGGACTGACGAAGTGGCGGGCCTTGTCGCATGCAACTGGATATGAATACTACCTCTCTCCCTCGACTGCATCCTCTAAGAATTCCGCACTCGCCGTGTATTGTTTTGTGCACACAGGCTTCTATGACTTGGTAGTTCGTGTGTTTTCCCATGGAAGCATTCTCGCTGCTTGATGATGGTGCCCCCGCTGCAGCGTGGGCCTCATTTCAGGGTCGGCACTTTGCTCCCGTCGTTCAGGATGGCGCTCTCGCCCCACTACCGCCCCTGCTGCTGCTTTTCCTCCCTGTGCTCCTCACTCCTTATCCCCATCATCCTCTTCCTCCTGCCTATCGTCATGCTCATCCGCCACCTCCTCTTCCAAACTTCTCCTTTCTAGATGGCGCACAAAGCGGGTCCTTTTGGGGGTTCCAGGTCTCCTTTCTAGATTGCACACCCGTCGGCGGATATATAAAAACAGCGCAATGTAAAGGGATGGGCGGGAGGGGTAGAATGTCAGATCTGGTGCGACCGCACCTAGCCTGCCTCTCTTCCTTCTCTTCCCTGTCTCCTCCGACCTGAGCAGACGCACAAAATCGATCCGAAATCGGAGCGCGAATCGGATCGGGCTGCATTGGTGTAGAGCCGGAATAGAATCGGATCGGCCGCGCCAGGATGCACAGCAACGCCACAGACGCATCGGGGGGCATCGGGTCGTTCGAATATCGGAAATCGAATCGGATCGAGCTGGCTGGAAACGAGATCGAATCGGATCGACACGGACCCTGAAACGTGGATATCGATTAACTAACACGTTGGCACACCCAAGGAAACAGCAACCGCTGGTCGAAAGACATGATACGAGCTTCGTTCTCTCCCGCCGGATCTGGTAGAGCCCTGGCTTCCAGTGTCCTGGTTCCTGTTTGTCCAACGATGTGTTTTTCCCAATGCATGACGCCAAGCCCTTCCCCTGGGGTAGTCTTTTCGCTCCGGATCCATTCTTGCTGGCCCCGAGGCCCGACAACGGGCCCCAAGAGCGGCAACGAGGAAACACGCTGGGACTGAACAAACAATACGTACCGTCGGAGGTCCGACTTCCGGGGCCGCTGGACCGTGACCGCCTCATGGCTCGAGGCATGTGCGCGGACGAAGGGGGGCCTGGTGGCATGGGACGTCTTGAAAGCAGAAGCGGGGGCCATGCCATCTGGGGGCTCTCATGGCCCCGGCTGTGATATCCCTCCCCCCTATTCTCCCCCCCCTCCTCGACGCCTGGTGGTTTTCGGCGTCTCGGGCACTCCTGGAATTCCATCGACCAGGCGAAGCTACTGGAAGGCATCCCGAGGCGAGAAAATCGCCGAGAACCGCCGAGAAGCTCCCCCCTACCCAGACGTCAGTGCAGACAGTTCGATTCCGGCCATGGTGTCCCCCCTTACAGTGGACACATACAATAAGAATCGTGCAAGCAGAAATCTGGGAGCACATTCTTCGTCGATCCTGGAGGGTCCTAAGGCGCCCCAGAGCTTCTGTGGGTCCCTGAGGCCACGGGGTGATAACAAACTTCCGTGGGGCACCTGCTGGCAGGCACTTCTTGTCTGCTGTGCCTGCTGCAGTCCTCACCCCCCTATTGTAGGGAGCCCACGTAACGGACGTAATGGCGCGCCCAGCCATGCACACGAATTGCTGTGCCTGCTGCAGTCCTCACCCCCCTCTTGTAGGGGGCCCACGTAACAGACGTGATGGCGCGCCCAGCCATGCACGCGAATACGGCCCTCAGTCTGCGAGGCCGGCCTCTTGTGGCGAACCTTCGCGCGCAAGGCAACCCCTCGAAGCCCATGCGAGTCCACGCGCACGTGCGTCTGCTCTTGTTCGCTGCTGATCTCGGATGCCCCCGAGGCTTCTGGGGCCCGGGCCTCGCCGCGCGCCACCAGCCCGGACATCGTCAGGCCGGGCACCGCCCCCGCAGAGGCCCCGTCCGCTCCGGCGGGCGCCGAGGCGGCCGCCTGGGCGTGCGCCTGGCAGGAGGAGCCAGAAGAGGCACGGGCACCTCGCGCGGGGCCTGCGGCCACCGTGCGACGGCGCGGGGCACGACGTGCCACAGGCGTAACCGCGGCAAAAGGAGTCGGTATGCCGTCCACCGCGGGGCCGTTCTCGCCCGGCCCTCCCGCACGAACAAACCCAAGGCGCGGGCAAGGAACCCGGAAGAGGCACGGAGGCTCCCCACACGGGCCCGCCGAGGGCGGTCCTCGCGCCGCCGTGCGCGATGGGCGGGGGCGAAGGTCCCTGCTCGTCTGGCCGCGGCGGGGCCTCAGCCACGACTCGGCTCCCTGACCTGGCTCGGCGGAGCGGCCCGCGAGGCCCGAGCCCCTCCTGAACCCAAGGCGAGCGACGATCAGAAACGGGCCTTGCGCGCGATGGCGTGGCGACCTAGCGCGGCGGCTTACGCGGGCCGCCAGCGCCGCACGCCACACTGGAGACGAGGGCGCTTACGCGCCGTTTTTTTCCGTTGTTCAAGTGGCCCTTATTTCAGCGCTTTGGTTGTGGATGGGGTCGGATGATCGCACCGCATCGCCGATGCTTCAGTGACGTTGGGCGATGCGAGGAGCCTGGAAGACACGAACATGCAGGGTTTCGCGTGGATATCTTGGCTCAGCGCTGAACCCCCCAGTGGTGGCGCCGCCGGCGCCGCCCCTGGCCCGCTCCGCGCGCCAGGGCAGAGGTGGTCCAACGCCGACCCAAGAGAATTTGGCATGAAGAAGCAGGTCCAGGACCCCGTGGTCCCCCCTGGGACAAACTCTTCTTTATGCATCACTTTTTGACTGGCCCCGGGGCCAGGGAACGGCCCCGAGAGCCCGAAAGGCCCTAAACACCCAGGACCAGTTTCCCTCAGGATCCATTTCCGTCAGGTCTCCCTTTAGAAATTCGCCCCCAGGACCTCTCCTGTGAGGCGCTCTGACCAAAATTTCGAAGGGAACCCAACCGTGGTGACGATAACGCTTCAGGAAGAAATTACCCTGTGACGTGCCCAACCCTTTTGCATCCAGTGACCAGATTCGTTGACCCACATTGTTATGGACGATGACAATGTGGCAACCATCATTGCTGCGCGAGCTACATGAAACACCCGCTCGTTGCGCGACTCACAGGACCCTCGCCCACCGTGGGGAGGAGCTGGGGACTGGCGGGGGCGCCACGAGAAATCGAGACGCTGAGTTTCCGTAAGACGCTACTCAGTAGGACCCCCCAGGAACCCTCGAAAGTGGTGACAATTTCGCAGATCGCAGCCCCCCCAGGGATGGCGAGGTCTAATTGAAGTCTTCGTGGGACGTCACCCCGCTGGACCCCCGCAGTAGCCCTCGAAAGTGGCGACCATTTGGCGAATCACAGCCACCCAAGGATGTACAGTATAGTGCAGAAGCCATGCGCCAGCCCCTGGCGCAGCGCTTGGGCACCACTGCCGCCACTGAGCCGGGTTTCGCGCAGGACGCGTGGGCAGAAATGTGCACAAGTGGCACCCCTTTCGGGGAAACTGTCACAAAACAGTCGGCGCAACGACTCGACTGTGAAGCAGAAACAGGAACGTATCAGGACTGCGTCGCGTAATGACAGAGTCCGACAGTGAAGCAGAAACGCAGAGCGCCCCACGACTGTGAAGCAGGATCTGAATGCCACACCAACTTTGGACGCACAATGGGAAGAATGATGGGGAGGAAAACGAAGAGGGGGGGAGCGAGGAAATAGACTGCTGCTACTACTTCACTGCAGTAACTTATACACGCGCTGGGCCAGTTGCAGCTTAAGGCGGCCGCGTCTCAAATCAACATTCCAGTGATTTGATGCCCGGTTCACAAACCACAGATCTGAGAGAACTACTGTCTGGTAGAGCGCGTCTTTCCTCATAGGCGTCCACTTGCCGTTTGCGCAACGTCTCATTAAGACTGTCCGCCCGCGCTATTGACAGAACAATAGCGTTCGACACCCTGTAATACGCGTTTTTTTGGGCAAGGTAAGATGCTGCGTGTAATAACCATAATGATTCCAGCTTGTAGTTTTGGAACAAAAAAGCGTCAAACAGGCGGATGCTCCGTAGCTTTGAAATACCGTATGGTTCCAGACTTTGAACCAATGTCTGGAAGAAACTCTCGCGCTGCGCAACGTCTCGGAAACTTCGGGTTCGCTTTCGGCTGTGCTGTGCAAGAGCCCACCCAAATACCCTGCTTGGTGTTCGTGTTTGATCGGCTGAATGGCAGGATCTCGTGCCACACCTTCGTTGCTGATGTTTATCACCGTGGTTTTGCTCTATCTCAAGTCCAGGCCGCATTGTTTACCCACCTCAAATGCGAGGCCCAAGAGAAGCTGAACTTTCAGGGAGCTTGCGCTTACGACCATGGTGTCGTCTGCGTATGAAAAATCAGTATACGCGACGTACTCTGGCTCCTCGGTGTTCATGCCAATCTCTTCGTAGAGCTCGTCGATTTCGAAACACATCATTACCTGAACAAAAGCAAACAGGTACGGTAATAACCGGCATGATTGGGCTTTTCCTGTTCGCTGTTGTCTGGTATTGGAATCCCCTGCTTGGTCTTTCAAACCGAAGCTGCGAATTTGGTAAACAAATAAGAGAATGCAGGAACCGGTTCTGGAAGACCAAACCGCACTGGAACTTGGATCTTCGCATCGAGCTTGATCAGCACAGCCATGTAGGAGAAGTACTAGCCCAGGTTCTTGCGAGCATTTCGCAGAATAGAACATGCGGCGGGCAATAGCACTTGCATCTATTGTTCTGCGCCCCGGCCGGAATCCAAAATGTACTGGTCGTATTCGTTGTTCTGCCCCTCCCAAGTGTAATCGTTGCTTACCAGTCGAAACGATCACTTTGCCCCCAACACGGAACAATGATATTGGCCGGTAGTTATCAGGTAAGGTTGGGTCTCCCTTTCGGAATAATAACACCACTGTTGCAAACTGCCATGCTTCTGGGATGTTCTTGTGTTCCCAACACCTTTGGCAAGCGTCTAGTCTATCTCTGCAGGCAATGCTTGGTATGCGCGATACCTTCCAGAATTCAAGGGCTCTCCCATCATGAGCGGCGGCCTTTCCAACCGCAAGGTTTCGCAGAGCCTCCGTGAGCTCGCCCATGGTGAAGGAATGGGTAGCAAGCGATAGGAAGAGGCTCTTCCAGAGCATTGTCTTCATGTGGATGTGCATCTGCGTATTCTGTGTGTACATCTGGGTATTCTCAAAACAACCTGCCAACGTATCAGCTCGTTGATCGCTTCCGCTGGCTCCCCGGATACGTTCTTGATCGCGATCGGTGTTTTGTATGGCGTCTTTCTCAATGCTTTCACTGCTGCCCACGATTCCTCTTGCGACTGCGATTCCAACCATTTCCGTTTGTCTCTGCGCAGCGCTTTCTTGATAGATGTGTTCAAGTGTTGTTCATGAGCTGCGTCCCCTGATTGTCTAGCGCTGTCCCTTTGCTTGAACAACTCCTTCGTGCCGGTAGATATCCATTGTTTTAGCTGGCCTCGCTCGGGTGCGTCTGCGACTCCTGCGGCTGTGCGCATTGCCAGTGCTAGCGCGTTTTCGTGTTCGTGTAAAGACAGCGTGCTGGCATCAATTTGGCACGCAATCGCAAACGCCTCGCAATACTCTCGGCCAGTGCCCGGCGACCTCTGCAGGGTTCTCCACACAACATCGTTGATGGATTGATGTGGTCTATTGTTCCCCAAAATCGATAACCAACGAGACATGCGTCAAAAGATGGCGCGTCGGTGAAGCCGCTCTTCGGTTAGTCCCAATATCTGCAATGATTGGGAAAGTATCGCAGTCAACCAGACCATAATCCAACTGTGCAAAGGCTGGGTATGTGATGTCGCTGGATGGCCCTACCCCTGGAGCAGGGCAATAATAAGTAACCACACTGTCCGAATGGTGGGGAATGCACGTGTTGGCTATAAGGGACACTGTTACCCAGCATGTTTCAATCAAGAGTTCCCCCCTTACAGTTAAGCGTAACTTCCACAGTATATTCCCCCATCACATCACCTTCTCCAGGTAGCCTTTTCTCAATCTTGTGTAGGTTGAAACCTCGCAACGCGATGATACAACTGTGATTCCCGTGTTGTGTTCATGCTTTCACCACGCTGTCGAACAACATTTGCCGTACCTCGTAGTCTTTCCTGCGTAAGGCGCATACGCAGTCATGACATCGAACACTCCACCTGTTACTTCGACCCTGAGGGTCGCAAGCCGGTCTCCGAGCAGCTTGGAGCTAATCACATAATAAGCTTCGCATTGGCCGATCATGAAAACCACAACAGAATAGAGATATCCAAGTGTTGTTTCTATTTTCCTGGACTGTATCACCCCATACCCATCTTTTACACATGCTGGGATTCTGGCACGTGTGTCGCCTGTATGCATGACATAGAAAGCCTAGGTGTTTCCATGGGGTGTTGGATCTCTGTCAACTTGTTGCGATCTTATCCCAGCCCTTATACGTTCCAAGTGCCAATACATTGTCCGCCCAGTGGTTTGCAATACTGCCGGCTACATCCATAGTTGTTATCATGCGAATGCCGCCAAAGGTCTGCACACATTTCGGTGTCACTGTATCTCTCGCGGTCAGATAATATTGTTGGAGAAACGGGTAATGAAGTAGTCGGGTCTGTAACTTTGCCTGGCCTGGGAACAAGGTAGCCGTGTCAATCGATTGTTGGTCGCCAGCTTCATCGGAACTCGTCATTGGAGTGCTGGTCATGGAAACTTTGCACTCCTCCAGCGAACGCTCCCAAAACGATGCGGAAAGGAAGGGAGCTTGGCCGAGCAGGGGGCGTTCACAACTGCGACCCTCATCGCCGCGGGGCCGTGTTTGTAGAGCGTGGGGTGAAAGAAGATGCGGGCCGAACTCGTTTTCCTATGCATGGTGGTGACCCTGAGGCTGTAGTGAAGGAGAAGAAGAAATCGAGGTATGCAAGCATGTACTCGGCGCGGTATCTCTGCCCAACTCCGGTAAATCCACTGGCGAGGTCTAATCTGGGATCATTCCGCTGGACCCCCCAGCAGCAGTTTCGCAGATAGCCGATAGCAGCCCCCCAGGGATGGCGAGGTTTAATTTAGGTCTGTGTGGGACGTCACTCCGCCGGACCCCAGGTCGGCGACATTTTCGCATATCGCAGCGCCCCAGGGATGGCGAGGTCTAATTCGGGCTGCGAGTGACGTCACTCCGCTGGACCCCCCAAGGATGGCGAGGTCAAATTAGCTCTGCGTGGGACGTTACTCCGCTGGACCCTCCAGCAGCCCTCGAAATCGGCGGCATTTTCTCAGATCGCAGCCCCCCAGGGATGGCGAGGTCTAATTCGGGCTGCGGGTGACGTCACTCCGCTGGACCCCCAAAGGACGGCGAGGTCAAAGTAGTTCTGCGTGGGACGTCACTCCGCTGGACCCCCCAGGAGCCCTCGAATGCGGTGACAGTTTTGCAGATTGCAGCTCGCCAGGGATGGCCAGGTCTAATTTAGGTCTGCGTGGGACATCGCTCTGCTGGACCCCCCAGCAGCCCTTGAAAGCGGCAACATTTTCGCAGATCGCAGCTCCTCTTGGATGGCGAAGTTTAATTCGGTCTGCATGGGACGTCGTTCCGCTGGACCCCCCAGCAGCCCTCGAAAGTGGCGACATTTTCGCAGATCCCAAGGGATGGTGACGTCAAATTTAGGGCTGCGTGGGAAGTCACTCCGCTGGACCCGCCAGCAGCCCTCGAAAGTGGCGGCAGTTTCGCAGATCGCAGCCCCTCCCAAGGATGAAGAGGTTAAATTTGGTCTCTGGATCCCCTAGCAGCCCTCGAACGTGGCGACAGCTTCGCAGATCGCCCCCCCCAAGGATGGCGAAGTCAAATTAGGTCTGCGATGGACGTCACTCCGGTGGACATTCCGGCAGTTCTCGAAAGCGGCGACAGTTTCGCAGATAATAGCTCCTCTTGGATGGCGAGGTTTAATCAGGTCTGCATTGGATAACGTTCCGCTGGACCCCCCAGCAGCCCTCGAAAATTGCGGCAGTTTCGCAGATCCCAGTCCCCCAGGGATGGCGAGGTCTAATTGAGGGCTGCGTGGGACGTCACTCCGCTGGATTCCTCCAGCAGCCCTCGAAAGCGGCGACAATTTCGCAGTTCGCAGCCCCCTATTGCGTAAGCGGCAGGAGAGGGAGAGGATGAAGGAAGAGAGGGGGAGATAAAGAGGAGGGAAGAAAGGAGAAGGGAGGCGGGAGAAGGAGGTGGGGACCGCAGGCAGGGGCAAGCCAAGTGGAAATCAGGATATGATAGGAGGAAGGAGGATAGGAGGAAGAGAGGAAGAGGGATGCGGGAAGGAGGGACGAAGGAGATGCGACCGCACTGCTCTTTTGAAAACGAGAGCCCAACGCAGGAGAGTTGGGAAACAAGAGGAGTCGAGAGGCGGA